ACAAATTATTATTTCTTCTCTGTCAAATTTGTGTTGGACTAAAAGAATTTTTAAGTGTAAAAACTAAATTTTTGATCGAGTTTGAGTCTAAATTAAATTGAGACTCGCTTGTTGTTTCAATTTTTTTTTGTGGATTCATGTTATACTCTATGAGGAGAATAATGAAGTATATTCGCTTGCTCGAATCGAGTAAGAAATGAATACGAATATAGACTACAAAGTGACCATATTGAAATGTGAAAATAAAGGTTGTGTAATGTAGGATTTGACAGCAATCTCACATTGGTTGAGGAAGAAATTCTATATGGGCAAATATAGACCAAGTTTGCTCTATGCAATTGGCCACAAGGTATACCACAATTTCATGGGCAGAGCGAGAGTCTATATGCCTTCGGTTCAACTACACACACTCACCGCTTGGTCCGGCGCGGGTGTGGGTGTAAGTTAGATCAAACCCTAATTTTTTTTGTTGAGAAAATTCGTTCAATGAATTGAGTATGAAGTTCTGAACTGAAATTTAATTTCAATACCCATTGGATTAAAATTTGCACTATATTCAAGCTAGTGTTCCCTCCAGATCTGAATTTTAGTTGCATCTGTTCAAGAGTGAACAATTATTCAAGTGGAGTCTTCTAATTGTAGGTCTTCTGGGTTGCATCCATTTGACATGGTGACTGCTCGAATCAGTCATCATTCTTTCTATAAATAACCCAGTCACATGACTATTTTGCATCCAATAAATTTGTATTCATTGAGGAAGTCTCATACATCATTAGCAGTTTGCATTCTGAGAGTACAAAACAAAATTTTTGGTTTTCTGGGTGAGTAGATTGGAGTGCTACTTCGATTTAAGTAAAGATCATTGTATCCTTGGAGGCAGACACTCTGATTTCTATAAGTATCGTATGTGAGGGTGAAATATGTCTTAAGGACATAGTATCAAATACTAATATTGATCTACTTAAAGTTCAATAATAGTTCATGATCTCCAAACAGGTCAGTTTATCCATTGTTTAAATTACAGATTTATTGTGTTACTGTTTTGTTCGCATCTGCACCTATTTCGTATCTGTAATTGTTTCGTACATAATAGTGTAACTATTTCATTATTGACTGTTACTGTTCAGAGAAAATGAAAGCAAAGAGTAAAAAGTAAATGAAGAAGGGCAAAGTGAACAGTTCAGCCGTCAAAAACACTTTAAGGGTTTAAAGAGAACAACTGTCATAACTATTCATTCATTTGGTTTAATAAAGATTAAACCTAATTAAATGAGAGAGCAATCCTTTGAAATCCCTTTCTCGCTAATATTTCCAGTTGAAATTAAGTAAACCACATATGACTCCATAGACCATAAAGTTTTGATTCTTGCCCCTAGTTTGAGTGGGGTTCTTGCTCTTGGTCCTTCCTTCAATTCATTTGTCTACGAAGGATTCTCAGACCATTACCCTGTCCACATGTGAAACCCTAATGCTGAACCAATCCCAACTCCTATGGAAATCTTGGAGTCAAGGAACTAACCCACTTCGTTGGTGGATCAATCCTGACCAAATCTGAGTCAATTGGATTGCAAAGATGGAACCCTATTATGCCCTCAATAGAGACATTAAGGTATTTTTTAGGTGATCAAGCTCTCCACCTGCAAAATGCTCATAAATCGGTGGCTAATGGGCGCTGCTGCATGTTTCTAGTCCTAGTCATGCAGTGCCATGCTTTTTTCATGTTGGCATAATGTCCCCAACGATATTAGATATTTTTCATCTAATAGGGCTCCCATCGATGGGTATGGAGGTAAATGCTTGCCTCTTTGCTGATACTAGTTGTGATTTTGCCAATATCCCTTAGAAAAGGATATAGTGAACTCATCAGCCACTTCTTTACCTCTCCATCTCCTATACTGCAGTCGTCCATCGCCACCACCATTGTCATATCATTCGTATATTTATTACCACTACCACGATCATCCCATTACCATCGCCCTCCATCGTCGGTACCCACCACCACCATTGTTGCCTACCATCGTTGCAAACCATTGTCACCCACCTCCACCACACCTACCACCACTACCCATTATCACCCACTACCACCGCCACCCACTATTACCCCTACCACCACCACCACCGTTATTCGTCAACACCTATCACATTATCACCCCAGAAACACCCTTTGTTGCCCACCATCACTATCTTCATCGTCACCGTCGTTATCGCCCCACCATCACCACCACTACCAATCACTATCACCGTCACCCATCATTAACCACACCCACCACTACCACCGTCATCACCCATTGCCACCATTACCACCATTTGTCACCCAAAACTCACTACCATCATCATCGTTGTCACCCATGACTACCATCATCACCACAGTCATCTCCACCTATCATAACTACTACTATCTCCTACCACCACCACTGTCGTCCACCACTACAGTCGCTCACCCCCATTACAACTAGTGCTTAAATTTCTCTCTCTCTCTCTCTCTCTCTCTCTCTCTCTTCTATGTTTGTGATTTGATTTTGGGTGTAAATACAAATATTTTTACTGTTAACAATTTTTTTATTATTCTGTGCCTTCAGACACATACAATAATTAGTTTTATAATAAAAGGTAAACATAAATGCCCCTCGAATTATTGTGTCCATTTTAAATTGGCCCCTGAACATTCAATTATACCACTTTAGTGCTTATACTTTGACTTCTGTACCAATAAGACCCTTCTACCTATTTCTTGCATTAAGAGAAACAAAAATAGTTAGATTGGTGAGGCTTTAAGGGCATAATGGACATTGTCCTCGTTAAATCTTTGTTTTGGTGCCAAACTTCTGACCCTTTCATCTATATCATCCCAAAATGCAATGTCTAGATAAAAAATCAGGAATTCAGATGGTAAAGTCATGACAAATGCAAGTATTGATTTCTTATATTTCTCTTGTTAAGAGTTTTATTATACTTTTTTCCATATCCCTTTTTGTTCTTCTTTCGTTTTATTGTAAGTATGATGTTCAAATTTATCAACAATAGTATCTTCTATTTATAGCATAGATTCACCTTGCATATCAAACCCCGATGTGAAAGTTACTTTAGGACAAATTGTAAATTTTAACGTCGTAGGTTTAATTTTCATTAATGACTCTCAAAGTAAATGATTTTGAGAGGGATGTTGGTGACCGTTAGATGAATCTATTTGATATCGTCGAATGAATTTATTAAAATTTGTCATATTTTATATTATAGATTTAGAATTAATGAGTGATGGTAAGATATTTGAGATTTAATTTGTAGAAATAGATCTATTGAGTGAAGGAGTTTATTTGCGAATTCAGAACTATTCGAATTGATAACTTCTTTTAAAGGAGTTCCTCGTTAGGAAAAAAGTACAGCTTTAATGGCCTAAAATGGTTTCAAAGAACATTCAAAAGGAGAGTAGCTAGAAAACAACTTTGAAAGCAACAAATGCCTAATCATTCTCGAATTAATTTATTCGGCATTTCTCCACCGAAGTGTTTGGCAAATGGGGCCAACTTTTGAACTTGGACCATAATATTATTCAAAATTGTTGATATATAGGAGTGTCAGCTCTGACTCATTGATACAAATCCGACAAAATTGACACTCTTATTATTAAAGAGCGTTGTAAGATCTAATAATATAAATTTAGAATGAGTATAATCATGCATAAACGATACATATTATGCCAACTATGACATTTCTCACAAAAAATCAAACTTGAGATTTCAAAATATTTACTACTAAAAGTTTTGTATTCCAACTATATTTGACCACTTGTTCAATATGGTTATTGCAAGCAAGTGCGGGAGATAAACAACGTCAATCAAACTAGAAAATTTTAATTTGTGCCAAATTTAGGGATTTAATATGAAGTCGTAAATAAATTATAGCGGTTGGATGAAAAATAAACTCCATTCAACTTGAAATTCATAATTAATCTAATGACTATAATAAATTGAGTATTTAAATTAGAAGTACTATTATTGAAAACTAAAAAATTGATAAAATGTACTGATTTAATAATATAACAATAATATAATCTAATAGTGTTGTTAAGACTATAACCCTTGAACTTATTCATAAAAATTTCATCACTTAATATATTACAATTTTTTAAATTTCAATACCGTTACTCCTTGAATTAGATAGCCGAATTAGTTACGTATAGGCTATGGCATTACTTAAACTAACCACAGCCTGGCAGATGGAGTTACATCAGGCCCCCCAGGCAGTCAGCTGAAAGGCACACAACTCTGGTCAACTAAAGCACACCGTGAACATGGCACACCACCCAAGATGGTGCTCATGCAGACTCACCAACCATTTTCACCGCTGGTTCCTCAATCTGATATTTCTATTTGAAAATTGTCAATGTACAAATATGTTTATAGAATATAATAAATAATTTATATTTATCACATTAACACTCAAAAAAATAAAAATCATCCATTAATAGTTTTATTAAATCTGACTAGTAAAATTCTATTTATCCCATTAATTAACACCCAATGAGACCCACAAAATTAAACAATGGTAAAAGGATCTAAAAAATCCATTCAGCACCATGTACCACCATAAAAAAAAATTATATAAATGATTCCTCTCTCTATATAAACATACAAATATCATTATATNCATTAATAGTTTTATTAAATCTGACTAGTAAAATTCTATTTATCCCATTAATTAACTCCCAATGAGACCCACAAAATTAAACAATGGTAAAAGGATCTAAAAAATCCATTCAGCACCATGTACCACCATTAAAAAAAATTATATAAATGATTCCTCTCTCTATATAAACATACAAATATCATTATATTCTATTTAATATATACCTATATATATATGAACAAAGGCCAGAAAAGTTGGAAAGAAAATAAACCCAAAAAGGCAACATATAATATTAGATGAATCATTGTAACTGTAACAACAAAAAGAAGCAAAAGCTGGAGGGACACAAAATCAGGACAGATCANAGTTGGAAAGAAAATAAACCCAAAAAGGCAACATATAATATTAGATGAATCATTGTTACTGTAACAACAAAAAGAAGCACAAGCTGGAGGGACACAAAATCAGGACAGATGAAAGACACCATCATCAGACACACCATTGCGGTTGCTGTTGGTGGTAGTGGTGGTGGTGTCTATGCCATCTGAAGTGGTGATTTGGGTGTGTTTTTTAGAGGAGCCTTTGCAAAGTTTGACTGGGTATTTGATGGCATTGATTTCCAGCTTACGAAGAGCAGCTTTACTAAGATCAACACCACATATGTCAGAGAGCCTGATAAGGTATAGCAACACGTCTGATAGCTCCTCACCAAGGTGTTGTTTTTCTTCCTCTTTCCAATCTGGAAGTCCTCTTGGGACCTCTCCTTTCCACTGAAATATCTCAGACAACTCTCCCGCTTCCCCCACCTGAAAAGTGAAAACACACACCAAAATGGCTGTCAAGAACAATGGCCTGCCAAAGACAAACCCACTTAATCCCCCATTTTATATTTTTAAGTAGAGGGTGAGACTACAACATAAGAATTAAAGTATGGTAAGGAAAGTTACAAATGCAACCAGTTATATTATTAAAGAGATTAGTTACAACTCATTGGAAATTAAATTACAACCTAGAAAAGACCAGGTAAACCTCAAAGAATCAAAGTACAACCAAATAAAAGTTGAGATTGATAATATCATAGCTCGATTCCAAATAAAGTCCTTTTTATAATAGTCTAACAACATAATACCGAAAAATAATTGCCCAATATATCTAATTGGCCAAGGAAAAGAAAGGAAAGATAGCACTGGGGAAGATTTTCTGCTAATTGGCTTTAATAGGTAGGCAGCACGTGCCTATCAATGAACAAAAAAAAGGGTGGGCAGCACATGTTTTCATGGTTCATGTGTTAATCAACTCGCTTGAACATGACAGTTCTGTGGTCGTGAAGATGTTAATTGGCAGTGTACTGACTACAGTGATATGATATTCTGGGAATCATGACAAAAGACTACCTCAGTTTGGTCGCTAAGTAACCGTAGAAAAGGGTAAGAAGAAAGAAGATTGTACCATTTGGTTCACAGTATAGAAAACCCAATCCAAAGGTTCTTATCCATGCCAAACTATTTGTTAACAGTATATTTCTTTACCTTCCCTTTCTCAGGAACCAAACAGGACGTTTGTCCCCCAGTTCCTTGTAAATATCTGAGATATTAAGTAGAGGAAGAGTGGAGAACATAGTTACGCAAAGATACTGACCACAAACGCCGACGAGGGAGAGAGAGAGAGAGAGAACACAGCATTTCCAATGCTCTCATGTAAAGCAACCAAATTTGCAGAAACTCGTTTTCCAGCTAGCATTCACCGATGAGCATGGTGGAAAATCAAAGTATGTTATGTGTGACAATGCTTGTGTGTGTGAGAGAGAGAGAGAGTGTGAGAGAGAGAGAGAGAGTCTCCAAGTTNGAAAATCAAAGTATGTTATGTGTGACAATGCTTGTGTGTGTGAGAGAGAGAGAGAGAGAGTCTCCAAGTTTCTCTCGCCACAACTCTTGTGCCAATAGATCGCAAATATAAAATAAGAGAGATCAGATGTTTGATCTGAGGTCAAATCCAGTTATAGATGAAGAGAAAATCAAGAAAACCCCAGACATACAAACATCTATCTATATGTATATCATATGGGTCTGCTAGATAAAAGGGCTGGAAGGAAGAGGAGGGTACGCTAGATACACTTACCAGAGCCAAGAGGAGATTTCTAGGGCTATGAAACTGATCCCAGTCTCTCTCCTTCGCAAAATCAGCCATTTTCTTCTTCAACTCCTCAAGGGTCACCCCTCTTTCTCTCTCTTCTTCCTCCGCCATTTCCTCTCTGTGCTCACTTGTCGATGCCGCCGCAGGATGAGAGAGAACCAACAAGAAGTAGAGACTGCGCAGACCTGGATTTGTCTTTCGGGAATCATATGGCGTGTTTGCCACATTTATAAAACAGACCCACGAAGATATGCCTTCAGGGGATCGGCAACCGGTTATTGCCGGTTGTGAAATTGCATTTTATCTTGATCCCGTGCCACGTGTTGATTGACTAGTGGTTACGCTGTTGCCTGTTGGGATTTGGAAGGGACCACGTGTTCTTTTGGCGCATAAAAATCCGCTGATATACTTTCATAGGTATTGAGAATTAAGCCAACCTTTTCTTACGGGGAAAATCTCAAATTTGACGATCCTTCCAATTTTAATTTGTATTCTTAAATACTAAAAATTTTAATTTTTAACTTTAAAGATAAGTCAATAGCCGTTTGTTTATCGTCTAAAATTAAATAGATAAATTATATTTTAACCCTTGACATTTAAAATATTACATCTACGTCTCTTTAGATACTAAATATGATTAAAAATGCTCCTCCAATTACTCATCCAAATAATTCTATTTAAGTGATATATTACATTGAATATAAAAAATATTATATAAATACTTGTATTGTATTAGTTTTAAGTATGCATTGATACAAATTTTTATCTTTGATGGTATAAATTAAAATTTTTTATCTTTAAAAGTATAAATTAAAATTCAAACAATCATTCGAGATACAATTTATGATTAACCCCCAAAATAATAATACCACTAAATTGTCATCTCGAGCCATATCTGGTCATATTAATTTGAATTCATGTGGAGTACTTGCTAATTCTAACTTAATTCATTAAATTAATTGTGTTATATAACTAATCCAATGTCTATATTATTATGTCATGTTTATATTGACGTATATATATATATCTATATATATCTTGAGTGAAAAATTCAAAATTAAGACGACATTATTTCTCGGCCAAATTCATACTAATAGTTTTTCGACAAATCCAAAAGTTGCTAAATTCACATAACAGAAGAAACAAGTAAAACATCCTCTTGTTTTAGAAGGATTTAGGTCAATACTCGATAAAACATTATACAAATTTGTCATTTTATTCATATAATATTAATTAATCGTATCATTTGAGGATTATTGGTATTTCATCCTAACCCCTCCCATTTTTCATTCTTACTGGCAACTTGTGAAGTTTTTGGGGTCGTGTCACAAAATAAATGCCACTAACCGATTAAATTTGTATGAGTAGATAGCATAGAGAAAGAAACATGGTGTCTCTTATATAATCGTTTTGGTACTTAGATCCATGGGTAGAAAAAGACCTCCATTGTCGTATATACTTTGTTAATATGAAATCTAAAAAATTGTAATTCAAATGCATATCATCTATTGGATGAGTAGGTTCTATCAATTTTTTCAGTGGAACTCACTCATTCCATACTTATCTAAGAGATAATATATATTTAAATTTTAACTTTTTAGATTTTATTTAAGTTAGGTAACATTTTCCTAATAAAAAATAAAGCACTTAGCATACATAGAGGATTCGTTCCAACTCCATCTCCTTTTGTCTGCGTGTGTGTTTGAGCGTGAGAAAGAGAGAAAAAAAAAATAAAAGATAGACGATGAAGTGGGCGGCTTTTTGGAATAGGTTTAAGGTTTGTTGATTAAACGATAAAGTGTGCTTCTTTTGATACAAAAAGAAAGGAATACGAACAAAATAAAAAAAAAGAAAAAATCAAACACTTTGAGAAGGGATGGAGTATAATATCAAATATCACAAAGTATACCCTTGAAATCATGCCAAGATTTATTTTTATTTTAATTTGCCCCAAAAATAAGAGTAAATTACACAAAGAACTATTAGGTTTGTAAGCATTAGATTACACCCTCCAATGTGTCAAAAATTATAACTGGCCAAAAAAAAAAAATGAAATGACCACGTCTATATGGTGATGTGATAGATCTTAACATACAAAGAATCGGAATTTAAAGTATAACTTGACTTTATGTTTCATTAAGTGTATCAAAAATTCACCGCGCCACCATGACGACATAGTGAACTTATTCTGTGGACTGTACATGTCCACCAACGCTTGTTTTGGTATGACAGAGTTTGTTAGTTCAACAAGAAAATAACTCCATTGTGTCTTAGATATGCATCCAAAGCTTAAAGATTTTCCTCCTTTATTTTGGACAGAAGAACCACAAAAAATTTAGCTTTCTTTTGAGAAGCACAACTCTGGCATTGTGAAGTCATTTTCAAAGGCAATATGCTCAAAAAGTTGGTTGCTAGTCACCCAACAAACACGGTGGAGGTGGAAGAGATAAGGAAAGTTCCATGAATCAACCATTTCGAGGACATTGGGAATAAAAAAAAAGAAAAGAAAAGAAAAGAAAATCTGCTTCATTATTTGATGAAGGAAAGGAACCAAAGAATCTCTCTCTCTCTCTCTCTCTCTCTCTCTCGTCAAACCTAAGAATCTGTTGAGATTGAAGACTTGTCAACTTTGATCATAACTTGTAGGCCCATGTTTTACCGAAGCTAAGGGATGTTGACTAGGGCTACACGAGGATGGTAGTGCTATGTGCTACTCATCATTTTCATGGTGTGTTGATTATTGCCACCGACGATCTAAGTGGGTTATGTTGGGAATTAACTTCGGAGTAATTTAGTTAATATAACGATAAGAAAATAAATAAGCGGTATAAAAAAAATTAAAATACAACTTAAACACTAAGATTTATGTGGTTCGGCAAAATTACTTCACCTACGTCCGCGAGACGTGATCCGATCTCCTTTCTTTACTATTGAGAGAAAATGAATACAATGGTACAAGTCTTACAATTCAGGTTTAAATCTCAAACTCAAGCCCTTAATCCCTTGTACAACCCATTCAATCTTACCCTCTCAAACCCCCAGTAAAGAAAACCTTTCGTACTCTCAACAATATAATGAAAATTGACCAAATACAATTTTCGAGATGATCTCAAAAACAGGAGACACATGCCTATTTATAGGCATGTCAAGGTGATGGTAGATGAACTTCTTTACATTTAAGCAATGCATTTGATTGCTCCACTTGTATCCTCCAATAAGATTTTAACAATGATATCATTTAACCAATTACGAAGGAACTCTCATTTCATTCAAGCAATGAAATTGCTCCACTTGTATCTTCCAATCAGATTTTAGAAATGACATTATCTAACCAATTATAAGTAGGTCTTTGAGCCACTGCCAACAAATCAAAACAAAATTTGATGTCACCAAACCAATCAAAACAAAATTTGAGCCACTGCCAACAAATCTCCACATTGGCGAAAATTTTATCTCCACCTGAAACTTCAGGCCCACATCTCAATTTGAGATGCCTATACCCACGCCTTGAGATGCCTCGTCAATATTTAACGGTGTGAAAGATTTATCAAGCTCAAGCAATGCTTGAACTTCTGTGTAGTCACTGGCTTTGTCAATATATTGGCTGAATTATTCTCCGTGTGTACTTTCATCAAACTCATCTTGCCATCCTCCACCCATTCTCTAATAGTGTTATACCTCACGTCGATGTGTTTCGTCATGACATGATAAACTTGATTCTTTGCTAAGTGAATAACACTTTGACTATCACAATACAACTCCAAGCTTTCCTGCTTCAATCCCAATTCTTTGACCAACCCTGTTAACCGCAAAGCCTTTTTGACAGCTTCCACCGTTGCCATATACTCCACTTTAGTTGTGGATAAAGCGGGGATTGATTGAAGCATGGCTTTCCAACTGATAAGTCCACCTGCAAGAGTGAAAATATAACCTGTAATAGACCTCCGCTTATCCAGATCACCTGCATAGTCTGAATCTACATAGCCCACAACATGTCCTGTCTCATCTTGTCTTTGATATAAGATGCCGAAATCCACTGTACCTTTCAAGTACCTGAAAATCCATTTAATTGCATTTCAGTGCTCTTTTCCCAAATTTTTCATGTACTTACTTACAACGCCGATTGCATGTGAGATATCTGGCTGACTAAAAATCATGGCATGCATTAAGCTTCCCATTATAGTAGCGTATGGAACTCGGGACATTTACTCCACCCCATCACATGTAGACGGACATAATCTAGTAGATAATTAAAAGTGGTTAGCTAAAGGTGTACTAACCAACTTTGAATTAACCATGTTAAACTTATCTAGCACATTCTCCACATATTTCTTCTATGAAATCCATAGTTTGCCTTTTTCTCTGTCCCTTTGTAATTCCATGCCAATGATCTTTTTAGCAACATCTAGATCCTTCATGTCAAACTCACTCCATAATCCGGACTTTAGCAAATCTATCTCATGCCTGTTATTTGGAGCAATTAACATGTCATCAACATAGAGCATCAGAATAATAAAAGAATTATATTCAAGCATCTTATAATAAACACAACTATCATAACTGCTTCTCATGTAGCCAACATGCACCATAAAGGAATCAAACCTCCTATACCATTGCCTAGGAGACTGTTTGAACCTGTAAAGAGATCTTTTAAGTTTACATACCAGATTCTTTTTACCTTGTAACTTGAATCCTTCTGATTGTTATATATATATATATATTTCCTCATCTAATTCTTCGTGAACAAATGTTGTCTTACATTAAGTTGCTATAACTCAAGGTTAATCATAGCTACCATGGCTAACATAACACGAAGAGAAGAATGCTTTACAATGGGAAAAAAAAATTCATTACAGTCAAACCCTTCGACTTGTCTATATCCTTTTGCTACAAGACGAGCTTTAATTTTTTTTCCTTCATTTTCTATTGTAGGTTTTTTTTTTTCGATATACCCATTTGAAACAAATCACCTTTTGCCCCTTGGGTCTTTCAACAAATTCCCAAGTGTTGTTTTTGTGTAAAGACTCCATCTCATCCTCCATTGCTATCATCCACTTTTCACTTTCTTTGTCATTGGCAACCTTCTGAAAAGAAGATGGATCTCCACTACCAACAACCAATATAAAAGAAATCATATCCTCAAAACCATACTTGACTGGTGCCTTATGAGTTCTTTTCTCTCTTCTA